AAGTCGACTCCGAATCAATGAAACTTGTTTTTTTTTAAACAAATCCCAAGCCGTTTCATGTTGAAGTCAACATGAAACATTAGCATATTGCCCGCCCACTTGTTGATCTTTTCAGTTGGTCTGAATGAAAATGTTAATTCATTCTTTGCCACTAGGTGCCGCTTTTGGAGCGGTAAAATAGCAGTTTCCCCGGTAACGCTGTACACAAACAGCACTGCGCTCACAAACGCTGCTTTAGGCGTTACAGGCGAAATTAAATGAAAATGAGACCAATCACCGCAGATTAGCGTCACACAAAGGAGGGGTTTGGAAAAATGAATCGTTGAGCGAATCGTTTGGGAGTTGTTGAGCAAGTAAGGTAAAAATAAATGCATATTATAAGATAATGAAAGTGTTTTTTGACCTTGCATGCATGTCAACCTGTTGTTGGAGACTCCCAAAACCAAAATATGAACCTTTCATTACCCATAATAGGGGCACTTTAATGGTGACAGCCAATTTGAACATTGCATTTGAAAAAAGCTGCATAAAGATTCTTTAAAAAACAATCTCATTTTGTGTTTTACAGCTAAATAACAGCATACAGGCACTGAATGACATGACAGTGAGAAAATAATGACAAATTTTTCATTTTGGACTAAACTACTCCTTGAAGACTACCAGATTCTTAAAAGTAAAAAAATAAAATGAATCATCACCTTCAGTAACCACGTGAGCACGGAGTCTCTGTACGGAACAAATTTACTCTTGTTTTTTCCTGCGCCCTGCTCCGCCAAGGCTGAAATCACCAGTCCAAGAGTTGTGAGGGACCTGAACACAAAAACATTATGACAAGAACACATCTGAATGTGTGTAAATGATGGAGTGTTGATGTGAAACCAAATAAATAAATTAATACAAAATAAATACATTTATTAAATTAAACGATTAAATGATTGATAGAAATAAATTAAAAATAGCTCAATTTAATCAACCTTATATCAATATGATGGGACCAAAAATGTATTAGAAAAAAATTATAGACAAATGAATAAGTCAAAAAATGACTGAGAAAGCAATTAATTATTCCAATAAATAATTAAAATAAATAAATTAACTAAAAATTGTTTAAATAAATACTTATTCACAAATTCTTCACAAAAAATAGAGTGTCAAAGAAAAAACAGCCAAATATCAGCCAATTAATCAAATTAATTACTTTAGGAACAACAAAGTACAAAATCCCCAACAAGATATAAACAAACGTGTGTGTGTGTGTTTGACCTGTTAATGTTGCTGCCTTCTTTGAGTCTTTCTCCTCCAGCTCCAGTTTTATCAGCTCTCTCACTGCCGGCCAGATCCACCAGACTGAGTTTACTCACCTTCTCTCCACTCGTCTGAAATAACACCATCCACACAATATCACTAGTTGCACCAAACTGAATGACAACAAAAATCCATACGTTTAATTTGACATTTTTTGAAAATGTGATGCTCAGTGCCAAAAAACACTAGTATTGTGCTAGTAATTTTCGCACTGGAAAACACCATTTGCATGCTCTCCTGAAAACATAAATAGCTAGTTATTTTAAATAGATGAGGGAGAGGTCAGTCTGCATCTCACCCCAGTCTTCAGGTCTCGGAGCGTGTGCGTCAGAATGATGTTGAAGACAGCGTGCGAGCGGCTGCTCTCCTCGTTCATGTTCGTGGCCGCCACAGTGCGGGATTTATTCCCCTCCGACATCAGAGACTCGATGTCCTGAAATACAAAACCAAAGCTGGTCAAAATCTTCCCACTTCAGCACTGAGAGTGTTAACGTAGGTGAAGGTGTCGGAAGAACCTTGTAGCTGGTCACAGCGAGGCGGGACAGACCGTCCACATACGGCCCCAACACCTTATGCTCCCGGACCCTCAACGCCTGCCGGCTCCTGAGAGGAACATCACGCCAATTCGTTTAGAAGAACAACAATGAGTGATTTTTCCAGGTTTTTCATGACTGATGGAACACAGACAATCGAATATGGGCTTTAATTGGAAAACGATCTGCATGTAAGCAGATCTACGGACTCACCCTTTGGGATCCAGAAGGTCTCGCACCTTCTCGTTGTAGATCTCCATGTAGGAGACCTCCACGGTGAAGCTCTCGCCCTCCCTCTGCTCCTGTACGCTGCGCTGGAACAGAGAACTGCAGAGTCGCGGGATCAGGCCCGGCTGCTCGGCCGCTCCCATCATCGTGTACGACTTTCCTGAGCCTACAGACCATCCAGATAAAGCGTGAACCAATCAGAGATCAGATTTTCGTTTAAAGGTACGTTTCTGGACCTTGATCGTGGTAATTACATTGCTGTCTCTGGGAGGGTCAGAGAGCTCTCAGAATTCATCAAAAATATCTTAATTTGTGTTCCGAAGATGAACGGAGGTCTTACGGGTTTGGAACGACATAAGGGTCAGTAATTAATGACAGAATTTAAATTTTTGGGTGAACTATCCCTTTAAACCTTTATAGCCTACTGATATGCAAATGCCTCTAAATGATAAACATGATCAGTGATAAACAAAATGTTGCAGAACAGACTGAAGCAACTTAAATTTACTTAATTTAATTTAATTACTTAATTTTATCATTTAAATTGAATATTGATATTGAAATATTCATATTAAAATGTGAGTCTCAAATCTGAGGCTTTTGAAGAACGTTTGTTTCCAGAAGCTTTACTTTCACTGTTGCTCAGTGGAGGAAGATCTTCCCAAGCTTTGAAAACATCTCAAATCTCTTCTTTTAAGGAATGATTTGTTCATTTCTCAATCATCATTGTATTGCATTGCATTATGTTTTTGAAACTACAGAGCTTTGATCACAAAACTAAGCATTTAAATCTCATCTAACTAAGACATATTATTGGCGATATAGAGTGACAACTGATTTTTATATGCATTTTTTGTAAGTAGTCTGATAAAGTGTTATAAAGATCACATTGATTTACATTACCATCAGAATTTCATCTCAATTTTGGCATACAAATATCAGCACTTGCATGTTATCTGAATAAAAGTAAGGTGTCTTTTCCTCGAGTGTAAACTCCATATTCTCACTATATATAATAGTATATGATATATGCAAACTTTTCTTTTTAGAATTTTTAAATATTTTGTCTAAAGGTTAAAAACGAAGTTTTTCTTACTATTATTTCCTATGCAAAGCTTTACAAGGTTACATTTGTTTTTATTTGCTTTAGCATTTTGTTTGATGCACAACAAGCACATATCCAAGAGTGAGTTATGTGCTGGGAAACAGTAAGTAGTTCTGCTTAAACCTTTCATGGAGACTAAAATCTTTAAATGAATTTTCGCATTGATAGCTTTCCAGCAAATCTAACTGTACCTGTTTGCCCATATGCAAATATACAGGCGTTGTATCCTTGGAAAGCGCTGTCCAAAAGACTCTCTCCAAGACACTGAAACACCACATCCTGACCTATGAGTTACACATGAGAACACTGCAAATGAGAATAACTGGCATGCATTATAAAATCAATTCAAAATACAGGAAAACTTCACCCTGAAATTAAAATGAACTCACAATCAGGCCATCCAAGATGTAGATGAGTTTGTTTCTTCATCAGATTTGGAGAAATGTAGCATTGCATCAGTGTCTCAGCAATGGATGCTCTGCAGTGAATGGGTGCCGTCAGAATGAGAGTCCAAACAGCTGATAAAAACATCACAATAATCCACAAGTAATCCACACCACTCCAGTCCATCTATTAATGTCTTGAGAAGACAAAAGCTGAGTGTTTGTAAGAAATAAATCTATCATTAAGGCATTTCTGACTTCAAACCATTGCTTTCGGCTAAAATACAAGTCCTTTATCTATAACATTGCCTTCACCAGTCGTCTGGTCTGAATCAGGAGAGAAATCTGCACAGATCAAGCACCGTTTACAAGCAATAACAGTCCAAAACAGATCTATACAAATGTGTGGGTGAATTTTTAAGCAAGGGGATGGACTTTTTCAATGGAGAAAGCGTTACTATGGATTATGGACTATTTTAGAAAGAAACAACATGTTTGACATTAAAAACATCTTAACGATGGATTTTTTTCTTATAAAGATGCAGCTTTTCACTTCACAAGACATGGACTGGAGTGGTGTGGATTATTGTGATGTTTTTATCAGCTGTTTGGACTCTCATTCTGACGGCACCCATTCACTGCAGAGGATCCATTGGTGACGAAGTGATGGAATGCTACATTTCTCCAAATCTGTTCTTATGAAGAAACAAACTCATCTACATCTTGAATGGCCTGAATGTGAGTACATTTAAATTTTTAGGTGAACTATTCCTTTAAAGGATTCAATTTAAGCTTTTCAAATGTCCTTTTATTTCCATTGTAAGTGTGTTACTGTAACTGAGATTTTATTTATTATTATTCTAAATAATATGAATGATAATGGTAATGAACAAATGCAGCAACTGCTTGAACCTTTACAAAAGAGCTGATAAACCACAATTGAACAGCTGATTTGATAAAGCAGTTTTACAGGTTTGTCTTTTCTTCAGAAAAGTTCACAAGGAAACACAAGCAGGGAATATTGATGTCTATAAGAGTTTCTATTGCCATCATAAATGATCCCTGATGATTCAGATCACTGCAGTATAAACACATTACAGAGGCTTAGTGATAGTTTCAACAAAAGGGTTGGTCATTATAGCAAAATTAATTATTTTAAATGTCAACAGACCTGCAAATTTGGCTGCCTCAGCTTCATCCATAGACCAGAAGCAATAATCATATGCGAAAACCTAAAACAAAATATTGCAGATGTCTAAAGATTGTGTAACAGATGCATGTCACAAGTTGTAATGAGCTGTCGAAATCCAGTTAAGTTACACACTTTCTGTCATGCACATTATTCATGATAGAGTGATTGTAATGCATTTGTTCACATTAATGTATTGCGAGACCTTACCTTTGGTTTGCTCCTGCGTTCACAAAAGGAAAGAACGAAAAACAACAAAAACACAATATTAGAATATACAGTATATATGAAATGAATACTTTTATTCAGCAATGATCCATTAAATTAATCGAAAGTGAAAGTAAAATCATTTCGATTCTATTTCAAACGAATGCTGAACATGATTTCTGCTGTTGGCGGGAGGACGACGCACAGTCTTGAAGCATTTCAGGAAGATTTCAGAAATGTTGGCCTTATATCAGTCATTATGAGAGAATTACACAGTTAAACCATCCTCTCTGAACCTCCTTCATCTCACATTTTCTTTAATTAAACTCCACCCTGATATCATTTGCATGACAAACAGCATCTGCATGAGTGAGCTGTCTCTACATGTGCTTCATAATGAAAACACAACCTTGCTTTGAAGGATTATTATGGAATTTGAGTAAACTTTTTTGCATAAGCCTGTAAAACCTGTTTGCACGCCAACGCCGCAAACTGCTGCAAGTTACAGCAGAGGTCTGAAACATGACTAGATCAGCGCTGAGAAACTGAGAAAAGCTGGATACGACCGAGGAGACTCCTGCATGAGGAAAGGCTTGTGGAGAAAACAGGCACACCCTTTGTAAAGAGACCAGGAGCAGGAATGGAAGAGGAGACAAAGAGAAGGAATGACAGATAAAAATCTTCCAGCACTGGTTGGCAACCGGCTGGTCTTTAATATTACGAACATGCATGTGCAGTTTGGTGCATGCTGACAGACGGCCAATGCAAAACCGACAGCTGATTTCAGCTGAAGGACAGACGAACCGCTGGATCAGTGACTGAGATATGAAACACTGCTGACTGATGAAGGCTCTGCTGCAAAACCAATAAACTCCTCTTTGTGTTAATGGAGTAAACTGCTAAAAACCACAGCATGCAACATATGCATGGATTAAAACACCAGACAACTGTTATCTGGTTAAAAAAAAGGTACAAAATAACAAGAATAATGTTATAAATACACAATCAATAGGTAAAATTGTTTACATCCATCAAAAGTAAATGCAGCAGCATTATCAAGATAACACAGTTTTTAATGCATGACCAGTCTGAAAGGAATAGTGCACAGAAAAATGTCAGAATTTACTAAGCTTTATGTTGTTCCAAACCTGTATGAGTATTGGTAGCCAAACAGCTGACGGTGCCCATAGACTTCCATAGTGTGGAAATAAATACTATTGAAGTCAACTAGTCACATTCTTCAAAATATCGTCTTTGGTCTTCAACCCTACAATGCCCTACAAACCACCCAAGAACATCTTAGCAACTGCCTAACCACTAAAAACACCTTAACAACCACATAATGCCTTAGAAACCACTCCAAAAATCTTATCAATGGCCTAGCAACACCTTAGCAACTGCCCAGAATACCTTAACAACCACATAATGCCTTAGAAACCACTCCAAAAATCTTATCAATGGCCTAGCAACACCCTAGCAACTGCCCAGAATACCTTAACAACCACATAATGCCCTAGAAAGCACCCTGAAAATCTTATCAACAGCCTAGCAACACCCTAGCAACTGCCCGAGACATCTTAACAACTACATAATGCCCTTGAAACCACTGAGAAAATGTTAGAAACAGCCTAGCAACCACCTAGAACACCCTGACAACCACATAATGCCCTTGAAACCACTCCAAAAATCTAAGCAGTGGCCTAGCAACTACCTGGAACAT